ATTTAAGCAAAATAAAATACTCATGCATAAAATAAAAATAAACTCTTACAACTTGCCCTATGTTTAAAAATACTTTAATTGGGTTTGCTCTTAGTTGCATTCTTCCTTGTTGGGGAGAAACAACCCTCCATTTCTGTATTGTTTTTCTTTTGGACCACTGATCTCATTTCAGGAGATGGGACTCAGTCTCATTTGAATTAAGAGACCATTCTTTTGATACAATCAGATCCATGCATTTCTCTCTATGAAGCATCAAATACTGCTTCAGATGGTGCACTAGGTCCATCTACTTCACTCTAAACTTATTCCAATTTAATGTTAACTTTAAGACCCGAGGATATCACTGTGCCTTTATTAAACAAATGAACAACTAAGAAGAAAACTTAACTGCAGCTCATGTCTATAAAAGTGACTCCTTTACCCATTTCACAGTTCTTACTATTAAATATTTTGCAACAGACATATAGTACGTTTATTGGGAAAATTCATCAGTTTGAAAACCTCACAGAAAATAGGAATTCCAACCAGGTCAAGCCTCAGATTCCTGTACTCCCAGTGCTCTGGAGGTTGAGGCAGTGGGAGGAGGGGCTACCATACGTCGCGAGCTCAAGGTGGTCCACGACTGTAATAGCATGAACATATTTAGAAGTGGAGGAGAGAGCAGGGAATATAGAGTGAGCCCTGCTCTCAGTTAATGGTACTGAGCCAAGGACTTTGCTAATCACCACTTCCTTTCCAACCCAAATGGGAGCTTCATAGGACAACCATTATGTGAAGTAATAGAAGGTACTGGTTATGGATAAAGAGGCCAATACTTTGTATTCTCAGACTTTGCATGAGAGTTATTAGCGATCCTAATTGGGCTCATTTTAATCTGATTAATACTAACCTGTGCCAGCACTCACTACTTAATTCCACAGGTTACATAATTGTAATCAACGCTAAGGAAAGAAATACTCATGGTGTAAACAGCTTTGTACTATCAAAGTCTGAAACGACCTATGGCAGTTATGATGGGATACATCACAACGATATCTCCAACTTTAAGAATTTTGTAAATTAAGGTTGACCTTTTATTAGGAAATATAATCTGTTGGCACCACCCACTTCATGTGAATATGAAAATTCCTGAAGGGGGAGCAACTGAATAGTGTAAGGAGTGGGAGGGACACTGTGAGAAATGATGACTCACTGTAGCAACAAGAGGAGCTGTTGGGAGATGTTCACTGTCAACTTCAACATCTAGTATCTTATTGGGAACTAATCCCTGGGCATGTCTGTGAGGGGTATTCCTGACCCACCCTATGGTGCAGGAGTTCCTTCTGTCCATGTGTTGCTTTCATTGGTTAATGAATAAAGACACTGCCTTGGCCTAGTTGATAGGGCAGAACTTAGGTAGTTGGGGAAGAATGCTGGGAGGAAGAAAAGCAGAGTAGAGAGACACCATGGAGCTGCTACCAGAATCAGACATGCCGAATCTTTCCTGGTAAGCCACTGCCATGTGGTGATACATAGATTAATAGAAATGAGTTAAATCAAGGTGTAAGAGTTAGCCAATAAGATGTTAGAGCTAATAGGTCAAGCAGTGATTTGATGAACAGAGTTTCTGTGTGGTTATTTTGGGGCTAAGCTAGTTGGGCAGCTAGGACGGACAAGCGGCCCTCTCCCTTGCAACAACCCCCTTCTAGTTTCATTATTTTGCTGCGACAAGCAACTTGATCAAAAGCAACTGGGGGTGGGGGTGGGGGTGGGGGAAGGAAAGGGTTTGTTTGGCTGTTACTCCACGTCACTGTTTATCCCATGGGAAGTTGGAACAGGAACTTGAAGCAGAATCCTTGGGAAATGCTACTTTTTGACTCACTCAAGGCTCCTACATGCTAGCTTTTCTATATAACTCAGGACCACCTGCTTCTGTCCATTGTCCAGAATGGATGGAGCCCTCCTACATCAACTAGTAGTCAGGACAATCCCCTATAAACTTTACAGAAGGTAAATGTGATCAGGCAGTTCTTCAAGGGGGCCTTCTCTAAGCTCTAGGCTGTGCCATGATGGCAGCTGAAGCTAACTAGGACCCTTTAAGTAGGCAGCATCAGTCCGTGGGCTGGAGTCCCAATCCGAGTAAGAAGAAAGCAAGCTGACTGCTGGCATCCCCTCTCTTTGCATCTTTGTGATACAGGGTGACCTGATGCCTCTTTCTCCTGCATGCCCTCAAGGCATGACCCAATGAAGCTTTTCATCCTATGAGTTGTTTGCATCAGTTATTTAGGTCATACATTTAAGAAAAGTAGCCAGTCAAGGGGCATTTTATTTACTTTCCATTGCTAATTGAAAACAGCAGTAAAAGTTTCAAATTAATGGTGATAATTTAAATATAATATAATAGTCACATATAGTTAAATAATTGAAAAATACTAATAATTCGATGATAACAATAATTATAATAGTATAATAGCCACAAGATTAAAAACCTGAATTTTAAAAGCACTATTTTGATGAGCTTTGGTATATTAAATTATGGTTTATGATGCATTTAAAAATAATATGTACACGATGATGCCCATGTTCATACTAGGAACTCATAAATATATGCCCATTCATAATTTATATGCCTATATGCTGCACTCGTATTTTCAGGCATTTGAGTTCAAAGTATAAGGAAATTTTAGTATTAGACTCAGTCAATTATGTAAATTGGTATTAGAAAGTACCCTTGGTTTGGCTTTCATGTCCTGGTGAAACTTGTTCATCTTCCATAATCATAACCAGAATATGGAAAACTTACCCAAATATCTAGTTTAAAAGATGCATATCATCATACTTTTATATTCCCATAGCAAAAAATTATGCAAATAAATGAACAAGTATGCAAATGAATGAACAAGTATGCAAATGAATGAATGAACGGAGTCTGGCTTAGAAAGAACTAAATTCACTATTCCATACCCAGGGGAGCAAAGCTCTATTTCTTTTGAAGTAAGTCTAGCTTTCTTTTCTCCTGCCCAACAGGTCTTGTTACCAATTTTGCAGGGGGGGTAATCTAGTTCATCAACAACATCAAATGATGTACTAGATAATTCTCCCACCTTTATTCATGAGAGCATCCCTAGCAGAATAGTCACGATTTTAAAGACGCCATAGAGAAAGTTGATCTAATTTAACCTGGACTTAAGGTCTTTTATTCTAAGGAGGATTTCTCATTAAGCTCTGGTAGCTGTGGTGTTGCTCTGTTTCCCCAGTGTAGGCCAGGTTTAAAATTTTCATGCATAAATTTGGTAGCTCTGCCTGTAAGTATCATGATACTTGTATAAGACTGCCAAGATTTTTGACATTTTTGTAACATCAATGGACCCTCGCTCTCACGGTATGCTTCTTTATTCTGTTTCAACAGTGAGCTCATAGAAGTCAAACGCACAAAGTTCTATCTAATTTCATTTGTGTCTTCAAAGTTCAGAAGAGAATTATGGGTTTTCTCTAAATAATACTGTTTTCTTGGATTTCTGCATTCAGACATAAAAAGCGTGCCTTAAAGCTCAGAGACTGTAAAATAAAATATTAAGAATTATAGTTTGCTAAATGTTATTACAAAAGTGACAGGCCTACCTGGTGAGAAATGAATTCTGGAAGCTTCTGTGTCAGAGATCTCTGTGTAGATGACTATAGTCACTATGATGATTTTAGTCACCTTGAGTTCTAACCAAAACCAAACACCCAGTGCTCTGATTGGCAGAATCACACTCACGGGTTTCAGGAATACCAGGAAACACACACGAAGCTATGAATTGTGTACAGAAAAACAGCAGGAAGTGTGTGTGGCTGGAAGACCATGGTCCCTGGTCTTTAAGAAGAGACACAGCAGGTTAGCTAGCTGGAAGAGGAAGTCTGCAGTCTGCCCTCAACTGTTGCAAAAGAATCATATCTCAACTATTGACTACCACGTTCATTTGCCCTGTGTGATATTTCCCAGGAGTTCCCATTTTTAATTAATTAATTTATTTATTTTGTTTGCCTATCAAAGGACAAATGGTGTCCCCTGAAAATGATGGTCCATTATCACTAATGCTTGTAGCACTTCCCCTGAGTATTGGGACTGTGTTCTGGATACCCACAGCATGCCAGATGTTTTCAAATCTCACATAACCAAGTGACCCAAGATTTATCATATTTATGTATGTAGGTTACACCCCTCGAAGAAATCCAAAACAAGCAACACACAGACAGGAGAGCTTAGGTGTTTGTTTCAAAATCACACAGTAGCCGTTCAGTAGCAGAGAGCACACCAACTTCCCTGTCACCCTTGCCCTGTGGCTCTCTGATAATGCTTTATTGAACACGGTTGGAAAGACATACCCAGAAGAAAGGACTCCTTGACTTTTCCTCCATGAACCAGATGGATTTTGTTTTATGACTTAATGTATGTGTCCTAAGGAAGCTATCTTAAATTGTTCCACTTTGAAAATCATTGCCATACCCCTTACTATCTGAAGAATTACTATACAGCGGCTGTGAATCAGAGAATTAATTTTTTCTCTTTCAGGGATGGAGACAGAACTTGTGGCTTTATTCATGTTAGGGAAGCCCATTAGAGATGTGTCTCCATGCTCACAGTGCTAATTTTTAATAAATTTTGTTACTGGTTCGGAAATTAAAACTATTAATTTTTTGAGATTCACTAAGCACCTTTTCTCTTTAAGAGCGCACTAGGGACTAACTTAAGAGTAAGGACGGCCCTACTGAAGAAAAGTCCATTTACTGGTGTTTGGAGTTTTACTGTCTCTTTCTATTGAACTGTGCCTTCCACAGAAGTGTAAAAGGATGGATTGAAGATGTCGTGTCAATGCCTGGGTAAAGACTCAGGGACCTGGAAGCTGCCACTCATAAATTTATTTATTTTGAAATTTGTGAAAGCTGTATGCCTACTCAGGAGTATGTAGCTAGTTTAACAGGCTCTTTTCTGTTTTGGCGTTGCAAACAATTTTCTCAGAATCCCACGTTGTACTTACTAATGCATGCTGACAGAAACGGTCCGTCTCTCTTAGAGGGAAGTAGACAGTTGCTGAAGTAATCTATCAAGGGAGGCAGAATTAACACTGGCAGTATGCTGATGGCATTCATTAGTGCAATTGGCAGAGGAAATCCACCCAAGTTCCGGTTGGAATTCATGGTCTGAAGATAATATCCTGAAGGGATCTGCGTTCGAGGAAGAGGGGAGTTAGCCAGTGGCTTACCTTTGGAGGAGGGTGCTCTGTCAGATGCCTCCCCCTCATGTCTCTTAGTTTTTTCCAGAATCAGTTCTGATCCCAGAGGCCATGATCAGCCCAATGACAATGCTACTGATGGCGAGAACTTTGTTTTGACATTTAGTTCACCTTCATGACTTTGCTATCAAAGCCACAGGTAGGGGATCAAGTTTCATAAATTCTCCATAGTCAAATGGACTTAGTTTTTATGAACATTAGAGCAAAATTGGACAGAAAGTGGGAAAGGGTGTCTGCTTTCACTCTGATGAAGTGAAAAGGAGAGCCTAGAATAGACTTTCTAAATGACATCTAGGCTGGCAACAAAACAGGATTTGTTTATTTATTTATTTCCAAGAGGGGACAATAGAGAGACACATTGATCACTGTAGACTATCTCTGCGAGCTTCCCACAAGGGTTTTGTTACTAGCCTCAGTCAAGCAACAAGAAGGAAGAAACGAAACCAACTTTTCTGTGCTTATGGCTTCTTTGATCTGCTTTCATTGACACTTTATGTGTACGGGAGGGCTCTTTGCCTGCATGTTTGTCTGTGTATAGCGTACATACAGTGCCGACAGACCAGAGAGGGCACTGGATCTCTCTGGAACTGGAATTACAGAAGGTTGTGAGGTGCTACATGGGGGCTGGAAGTTGAACCTAAGCCCCTTTGCAAGAGTAACAGATGTTCTTTATGCCTGGTCCATCTCTCTTCAGCCCTATTACTTTTAAAATGATTCTGGTGTGCCAATTGTTGTGGTTTTCCATGTGAAATGTTCAGACCCCCAAAGAAAGATGTCCATGGACAGTTGGTACCCAGAGCATGGTGATGTTTTGGGAGGTTGTGAATCCCTTGAGACTGGGATCCTAACTGGAGAAAGTGCACAACACGGGGTGGGTTTTGAGGTTTGATGGCAGTCTCCATCTCCTGTCTGGTCTAAGTGTTCTGACTGCAGATGCAATTCTGCCAACTGCTTCCTGATCTCTTTGTCATAACGCTGTGTCCCTTCTTGAACTGGGAGCCAAAATGAGCCCCTCCTCCTCTGAGCTGTGCCAGGCATTTTATCACAGTGATGAGACAGGTCACTGAGGGGCTGGAGAGATGGCTCAGTGGATAAGAGCACTGACTGCTCTTCTAGAGGACCTGGGTGCAATTCCCAGCACCCATATGACAGCTCACAACTGTATGAAACTCCAGTCTGAGGATGTGACATCTTCATCCAGACATACATGCAGGCAAAACACTAATGCACATAAAATAAATAAAAAAATCCCAAAAAAGGAAAGGAAGGAAGGAAGGAATGAGGGAAAGAAGGAAGGAAGGAAGGAAGGAGGGAAGGAGGGAGGGAGGGAGGGAGGGAAGGAAGGAAAGAAGGAAGGAAGGAAGGAAGGAAGGAAGGAAGGAAGGAAGGAAGGAAGGTGACTGATACACTAGCTCACCTCAACAGACCTGTTGAGGAATTGTGCGGAACAGACCTCTATATTAATACAAAAGATGACAGACTTTTTAAATTTCCTTGCTCCACCTCATAATTTTAATCAACCACAAAACCTTTTTCATATTTAAGGAAACCCACATGATAACTGGCAACCCCCATGCTAATTAAATCCCTAACACTAGCTTCTGGTCTTTTCCCATATGCCAAGCCCGGAGGAGTCATGATACTGGAAACAAGAGATACAGCTCATGGAATAAGCATTGCTTCACGCTCTCTAAATTCTTCAGTGGCACATAAGATGTTTTTGATTCCCAGCAGCAAACCAAGCCCACTGGGAGGCACAGAGTTAAGGCCTGCATGCCACTCCCTCGAGGAACGGCTTTTACAAACTGCTTTTTAGACAGTAGTTGAACTGACAGGAGAGTCCTGCCTTCCCATCACCCAGGAGAGACACTTGGCTCAAACCCCCGCATCAGAGCTTCTCGCTGAATTCCTCACTGACCCCTTCTCTCTAGTCAGTTGTACAAACTGGGAGTTTGGCTAGAGTCAAAAGAGTCAGTGCCATTGGTAACCAACTGACCAATGGGAAAAGACAACTCTTACTTTGTCAACTACCCAAACACAGGGCTGGACCACATTTTCTTATGGCTTCTGCCTATCTGCACACAACACGTCTTGATGATAATTTATCTCTCAGCTTTTAATGGGATACTTGGGGTAATAAACAGGTCTTGCTTTGGGTGAGCTCCAGACGGCAAAAGTGAAGGGTGCATTAGCTATTTCTGCTCTGCTTCTGTGCAGTTATGACACACACACCCCAATCTGAGGGAAATGAACGATGGATGTGTGGTTTAAAAAGTGCTGGCAGCTGAATAAGGTTTAAGACTGAGTGGCTCCTAGCATCAGAGCGAGTTTCTGTTACTGATTTCAAATGAGAATTATTGTTAATAGGAATAAAGTTATTATCGGCATGAATCACAGACACTGAAGCCTGTTAACTTAATAATGTTGCAAATGTGTCATTAATCTTCAGCAAAGAGATATTAATATATTGCCTAATCCAAGAAAAGGCTGTGGTGTCTTGAAAGCTTGAAATCATTTCTGCTTCTGCCTCGAGTTCTGAAATCCTCCCCTATTTAAAATTTTAAATACTTTTATTTCACACAGACCTCCAAGTATTCAGAAGTAATTGCTGTCAATAGAGATTCATTTTCACCTTCGAGTGGCCCTAATGTCAAATGGCAACCTTGTCGGCCTTAATATCAACATATTTTAAATATATGTCTTGAACCTGAAGGTCAATAATTGCCACTAAATTTAAAATATGGAATTCTGGGATGTTTTATTCCTGGTGCTTTGATTGTCTTCGTGCTGGTGATTATTTTATCTGGAAGCAAAATCTAGTCTTCGCCTATCCTAATGGAAGTTCCAACCTGGAGAAGGATGCTCTAGCATTTTCTTTCAATTTCTTGCAAAACATCACTCTATATAAGGTTGGTACCCACACAGTTTGTATCAAAATATTTCATAATGCGTCAGAGAGGTGTTGTGGGCAATAGTAATAGACTTGGATATCAGCCTTGAGTTAGGGCAACCATCCTGCCATACAGGAACAAATCCAAGGTTACGTAGTCTTTCTATTCTCTGGAATCTTAGGCATTTATTTATTTATTCTAAAAACAAGGTCTCAATGTATAACCAGGTGTCTAGCCTAGCCTTGAACTCACTATGTGTCCCAGGCTGGCATTGAACCCACAGCAACCCTGCTGCTTCGGCCTCCCTAATGCAGTGTGGTTACACACACGAGTTGTTACATTAGCTGCTCAGTCTCTGATGTGTGGTAATGACAGTGGCTGGGCAGACATCCTGCGATGATAAAGTTAGACACCCAGAAGCCTAGTTGGTGAGATGCTCAGCTGGTCAGGGCACTGGCCCTTGAGGCTGGCGATCTGAGTTTGATCTCAGGAACCCACATGGTAACGTGTGAGAAATGACTCCTGTATGCTGTCTTTGACCTCCCCCCTTTCTAGACTATGGCAGGCATACATGTCCTCCATCAAGTAAATGTAGATATTTGTAAGCCATCTTTAAGAAGCTGTGGTGATTAATAAATTATCAATAAGTACTTGAGCTTTTCTTCAGTAAAATGGGCATTTATTTCCTTAAAATTTAGCTTACCAACTTTTTCTTTACTTGTACAGCCCACCCATGTTCCTGTAAATTACACTTCACTCATAAAAAAATAGTTCACTGGTGTGTGTGTGTGTGCACGCGCGTGCGCACACACACACACAGAGAGAGAGAGAGAGAGAGAGAGAGAGAGAGAGAGAGGGAGAGAGAGCAGAAGGAAAAGTAGATGGGCACTATATGGGAAGAGGAAAGGAGCAGAGGCAGAGAAGTGTGGAAGGGGACAAAAGCACGTTATATGGGGATGTGACTAAAACCAAATTTACCAAAATGTGTTGTATTTACATCAAAATACAAAATATAGAACCTCTCCCAGAAAAGGCTCAAGCTGAGTGGAGAGAAATAAAAGTTGCTGCTCTCCCATGAAGACAAGGCGTCAGGAATTTGTGGTCTTGGCACAGAGGGTTTACGGCTAGCTACGGACTGCTTAGTAGCTCAGCACTCGGCATTATTTCTCAGGTTTGGTGCCTTTTTAACAAGGACTGCATAGTGGGGAAGGCTTTTGCGTTGTGTTGTTTTGAGGCCTGCTATTATTTGTACAGCCAGGAGGACTCTCCCATTCTGTATGGCTCCTGTGCACTGCTTGGACCGGGGTTAACAAGCTTTCCTGGAAGGGGTCAGATGATGATCCGCACAGGGGTTCTCTGGCAACTTTTCAGTTCTGCCACCTTTGGACATGAGCAGCCGCAGATATAACAAACCAATGGGCCTGGCAGTGTTCTAATAAAACTTTATTAGTAGGCGGCAACATTTAACTTCCATATAATTTTTAAGCACCATCAACTAGTCTTTTGTTTTTCCCCAATGGTGTAAAATATTGAAACCATGCTAACTTTCACTATATACAAAAACAAAAAGGAGCACCAAGAGATGGTTCTAAGGATAGAGGCACTTGCCACAGAGACATGGGGATCTGGGTTCAATCCCTAGAACCCATATAAATATGGGAGAAAAAAATCAACTTCTGCTGTCCTCTGACATCTGTATGAGCACCAAGCCATGTTTGCATCCCCTCCCACACCATACACTTAGGCACATGTAATAATGACAAATGTTGTAAAAACAGGCCATGGACTGAGTTTACCGTGGAGGCAGAGGTTTGCTGGGTACGTGTTATTTACTGTTCTATTGCTGGGATAAAGATGTGGACCAAAAGCTGCTTCAGAAAGAGAGGGTGTGTTTTAACTCGGTGCTCTAGAGAGCCTGTGAACAGCGGGGAAGATTCTGGGCACAGTGGCAGGAGCAGAAAGCTGTCTGACCACACTTTCACCTACACACGGGGAACATAGGAAAACCAGAAAATGTAGCCAGGCTACAGACTCTCAAAATTCGCCCCCAGCGATGTAATTCCTCCAGCAAGGCTCTGCCTCCTCAAATGCTGTCACCCAGTGTGGGCCAAAATTTCAAACACATGAGCTTATGGGAGGCTTTTCACATTTAAATCCTCACCTGAGGTCTACAGGAGCAGGTATAGACTGTTCTGAGAGTCACTGCCTCTTCCTCCTCCTCCTTCACCGCTGTTAACTGACAGCTGCCTCTCAACATCAAATCACTTAACTTTACAGATCTCTTCTTTAGCAAATGGAGCTGGAATCAGGCAAACTTTTCCCCGTCCATCTTTCTGTGACTGATGCATACAACTCAGGCATTAGCTTTCTAAGCTCTACGTTGGAGTTGGAGTAGTCATCAAGAAAGTTCTGAGTTTGTTCAATGACTTATAATTGTCTCCTTCTGCTCTATTTATGATTTGATCTTTGACCATAGATGCATGAATTTGTTTAAATTCACATTTAATCTACAAAAGACACCATGGGCTTAGCATTTTCTCTTTGATTTGCTCCCAGCATAAGGACTGATTCCCTGAAGGCTAATGTGCGAGCGGCAAGGGCATCGTTTACTCATAACTAAGAATTAGTGAAGGCGGGGTTGCTTTCTAAAGGTTTAATGGGGTTGGGGAGAGGCTCAAATCTTTGGTTAAAGGGAGTTTGGGAATTGCCTCTGGGTCTTGAGATTCTAAAGATTGTGCACTCCGAGATACCGTCTGTTCCTTTCACCTGACACGGACAGTCCTACGAGACGATCCCACCCAGGGTCTCCTCAATAATTTCAGCTTGGCTGCCCTGAGCTCTTAAAACCAGGAACCGCACTGTTCAGAAGGTAGGAAAAAGGCTCGGAATGTGTTTGAAAGTGCCAGCTTGGATGTTGTGGTTTGTATGTGGAATGTCTCCCCTTGGTTTGCAGATGGTGGTGCTGTTTGGGAAGGTTGTGGGAACTTTCAGGAGGTGGGGCATGGGAGGAGGGTTCATGCTTTCCTAGAGCCAGCCTCACTTCCTGTCTGCAGACTGTGACCCATCTAATGCTGTCGGTCCTTCCGCACTGCGACAAACCCTGCCCCCTCAAACTGAGCCCAGATAAGTCCTTCTTCCCGTAAGTGACTTTTGTCAGCTACTTCGTCACAGCCATGAGAAAAGTGACTACCGCAGGCTGAAAACACACGAAGTCGCTTTGTTGTCTTCGGTGTGTGTTGGCTGTCCTCCTTACCTGCATAAGGCACATTCTGTATACAAGCTGGGAACCGAAGAGAGGCCAAAGGGCGGAGAAGACAAGTTCTGTGTCTTCCTCCTGGAGTTCTCTGCGGTGTCCACCGTGTATTTGCATGGCACGGTCTGACCGACTTGTTCCATCTCGCCCAAGGTGGCAGTATGGCAGGAAGCATTTTTTCAGGGCGGTAACAACCACGCCGGAGACAGTCAGGAGGGAGCAACCTGCAAAGCATTGGAGACAGCAGGTGTTAGCCCAGAGATGGCTCCTCAGCCCGCTCAGACAGGACTCGAGACCTGACACTCCTGAGGACAAAAGGTGGTAAAAGTGGCATCGAAGGGCTTCACTCCCGAGGAGTTGGGTTCAGAAGCACCGCTGGCAGAAAACTTTCTGATGACCAGCCCAGGGTGCAGCCTGACAGCCGATGTAAAAAATGAAAAAGGTAAGATCAATGGGGACACATTAGAAAAGAAGTGACAACATACAACGGCAGAGTGGAGAATTTCAGAGTCTCTAAGAAGTCTCTAACTTCGCTCATTAATGAATAAGAGAACCTGGGAATTCTTTTACATCTTTTACTCCGGAACCAGGACTATTCTGTAAAATATAAATAGCCTTCATTTTACTTGGCAGGTAGCTGTTGGTTCTTTTATTTTGACACAGAGATGAAGGCAAATGTATTCTTTTCTTTGACTTTACCCTTGAATTTCAGATGTAACATTAAATGTTGAACTCTTTAAATGCCTTTATGAATGTTGACAATGTTACTGAAAAGCCAGGCTGTATTAGTTGACTTTCCCAGGATTTCCCTCTACGTTGATATGCAAGATGCCTTAGCATCAGAAATGCCACATTGCCTCAGTTGTTAGCAGTTGCCTCGTCCCAGTCATTTGAACTTCACCCTAGCTTCTTTTTATGTTTTTTAGATTGTACAGAAAATTTGTCTCTCTTAAAAGTTTCTGCTACCCCGACAAGGAAAATACCCACACTGTGTAGTATAACTGTGTCATGTTGACTGTGACTTTTTTGCTCCATAATACTGACTTTTCACCAGACAAATCCTTCCACAAATTATAGACACTGAATTTGGTTACAGGAAAAATAGTACAATCCATGCAAAAACATCTGAGTTTCTCTCAGTAGGTCAGCCAGAGGCACTCAAAAGACAATTTGAGTCATCTTACTGTGTCCAAATTTCCCATAAGAAAGTCCTGCGTAAGATGAATGCTAGCCAGATTCATTTAGATGCCACACACTATTGGCAGTTCTATTTAAATAAGGAATACCTATGAACATCTCTTTTTATGGCTATGAAGTTGGCTATATTGATTCCATCTGATCTTTTCCGTAAGACCTGTAATAGGCTGATTATGTCAGCCTTTGATTAATTGAGGAGCTGGGGGCCTGGTAATTGAATATGCACCCTTTCACCTCAAGTCACTGAATCAAATCCAGCCCAAATTGGTAGTGACCATGAATGATTATACTTGTGACTCTCTGGTGGCCTCTGTGAAGTATCTTTAGGTCACATGGAAGAGCGTCGTGATAATTGCTGACAGGAGAGCCACTCAGATCCACGGGCTTTGTCACCTCTTCCTGACCACTGTTTCCAAGCACAGAGGAAGGCTGAGGATTGGCCCAAGGAGACAGAAACATGTAGGTGTTGCCAGACTCGTGTCCCTTAGAGAAGAAGTAATAAGGAAAGGGCTTCATGGTTGCAGCATGAACGGCTCCATCATTGTCAGAGCACAGCCTGCTCTATCATGAGGTGTTCCGAGCCATTTCAGTGAGCTCACTTCAGGTTTAAGTAAAATGAGAGTTGGGTGTGTGATGATGGAGTCTGGAGTTGAACGTGGGCAGGCCTGGGCTAATGACAACCTTGACATTCCTTACAGCTTTGCTTGTGTTGCTGGGTGTGTGAGGATGAAGCCTAGAGGTTGAAAGTAGGTAGGCCTGAGCTAAATGACTTAACTTTGACATTTTATTGTAGTTTTGCATGCATTGCTTTTCAGCTCACACTCTGTTTGCTTGTGCTAGCTAGTTTTATGTCAACCAACACCAACTAGAGGCATCTGGGAAGAGGGAATGTCAATTGACACGATGTCCTCACCAGACTGGCCTGTGGAGCATTTTCTTGTTTGATGACTGATGTGGGAGTGTCCAGTTCTCTGTGGGCGGTATCGCTGCTGGGCTTATGACCCTGAGTGCCTTAAGAAAGCTACTAGGAACAATCTAGTAAGCAGCGTTCCTCCATGGTCTCTGCTCCGTTCCTGCTTTCAGATTCCTGCCCTGAACTCTTTTAGTGATGGAGCGTTATGAGTACACGTAAGCTGAAACCCTTTTCCTCCAATTTGCTTTTGGTCATGGTGTTTTTGTTACAGAAATAGGAACTGTAACTAAAACACTGATCAATTCTTGAAAAAAAAATACAGTGCTATGTAGACATCATGGTTATGATGATTCGTTTTGATCCAAATGACTCCAGGTTTTCAGACAGCCTTCATCATTAAATGGTAATTATTTGTAGAAGGCAAGTCATTAGTCTTTTTTCTTTTCTCCTAAAGACATTTTCTTTACTTTTCTCCCAAGTTTAAAAATTCAAGGTCTTGTATTAAATATGTGTTTTAAATGGACCATAACTTTATTATAAGCGAGGCATACTTCATTGTGAGATAAAAATTGAATTTACTTCTAATAGATGCTAAAAAGATTTCTGAAATTTTCTTAAACAATCCAATATTGCTATCATATTATTTATAAAGAAAGATAGCTGAGATTGGTGCTTTACTGAACTTTGTTAAAAATCAGTTTTGGGGATGGAGAGATGTCTCTGTGTTTGTTAGTATTTATCATTCTTCCAGAGGACCCAGGTTAGGGCCCCAGTACCCACAGGTGGCTCAGAACTGTCTGTAACTCCAGCTCCAGGGATCTGATGACCTCTTCTGGCCTCATGGGCACACACCCCACCCTTACAGAAATATAGACAAAACAAAAAATAATCTTTTAAAAAACAAATTAGTTAGGAAGACTTTCCCAGATGTCTGCCATCCCTGCACTTGGAAGGTGGAAGCAGGAACTTTATTAGAGCCTGTCTTATAAAACAAAGAAAATTCTCAAGTAAGATTGCCAACATGTGTTTGAAATACACTAAAAATTAAATATAAGAAAGTTATAAAAACGATATGCTCTGGCAGCTTGTTTGATCTATTAGATATCAGATGTAACTTCCACAAGCATTTCTACACGCATCTTCCACTGTATTTTTTTTTATTATTTTATAGTAGCGATGATTCTCAGGCCAGCAGCACTGCTCTGTGGACTAGGTTGTAATAGTACTTTGGAAAATAAATTCAGTGAAAGAAAATTGAATCTGATACAATGAGACAAAACGAATAAACTCAAAGAGGCTGAAAACCAGGGAATGAATGAGCGACGGTAATTTCTAAAATTCCTGCTGCCACAGAAAGCACCCAATGCATCTCCATGAAGTGAGGATAAGATCATTCATTCAGTCTCCATATTTACTGTAAACCAGGGGCTCTCTTTGTCTTTGGCATGATGGCAGTGAGCAAGGTTCACAAACCCGCAAGTCTTCTTGGTGCTCCCAGAGACACTGTGAGTAGGAAGCTCCTTACATGACTATGGTGGCAATGCAATGGGATGATATGATAGAAACCTACTAGGGATGACATGAACTGAGGACTAAGGACTAGGAGTAAGCAGCATCACGTGGAGGAAACAGGCCAGTAGAGGTGAGCTGGGACATCGTGAGCAGCAATCGAGGCTCTGAGGGGGGAGGAACTAATGAGAAGAATATGGTGAAAGATAAAGTCCAATGCTTGTTAGAGGCCAGATGACACAGATTGTGGGAGGGATGTATAGTCCACCCTCCGAAGGGTTAGAAACCACTATGAGGTTGTAAGTGGGAGAGAGATAGCGTATAACTCACATTTTAAAAATGCTACTCTGGAACCTTAGAACACTGCTGTAGGAATTTCTACCACCAGTAGCCTTTAAGTTTCCCGCCCGCTTGACCATGGCCTCTTATACTATATATGCCAATGTAAAGCACGCGACCTGTCTCTCTCTCTTCTGACCGTGGCATTTGGTTGCTGTTCCCTGTTTGAGCAGAGCATTGAGATCTGTGAGTCTACCCCTAAATAAATAACCCTTTATTATATTCGATTCTGAACTAGGGTGGGATTTCTTTTAAGGGTCTTTCTTTAGAACACTCAGCCCTAAATGGGATGTCTCCATCAAATCCCTTTCCGTAGAATTCAGGGAACCCATTGGAAGAGGAGGTGGAAAGAGCAGTGTACTAGGCAGAGAGAATGGGGATGGAGGATGCTAGGAGAACAAGGTCCTCTGAATGAACATAAGCAAAGCTCATATTTCGCAGAGATTATGGCAGCATGCACAGGGCCTACATAGGTCTGCACCAGCTCCTCTGTGTGTATACTATGACTTCTAGCTTAGTGTTTTTATGGGATTCCTGAGTGTGCTATGAATGAGTAGGTCTCTGATTCTTTCGCTATCTATCTATCTATCTATCTATCTATCTATCTATCTATCTATCTGCCTATCATCTATCTATCTATCTATCTATCATCTATCTATCCATCATCTATCTATCTATCTATCTATCTATCTATCTATCTATCTATCTATATTTTTGTCTTGTTTGTTTTTGATATGATAGTTTTTGTTTTATCTTATTATATTTTATTTTATTATATATATTTTAAATGAATTAACTATAAAAAAAGCTACACTGGGGCCTGGTTTGTGACTCAATAATAGAAGGCTCACCTAACATATATGAGGATTTGAGCTTGCTTCTTAGAACTGAAAAAATAAATGGTAAAAGAAAAAGGAACCCTTGAAGCTGAGGACTGATAGATTTCTGGGAATGAGATAGGAAAGCAGAAACCAGATAGGAGATAGTGGTGATGTGGACAGGACAGGAGTGGGAGCGAAGAGACAGAAGAAGGGAGAAGAATGGATTATGTTTTCAGCAATCAGTAGAATCTTCTGCTGTCTGATGGTAAGGAAATGGGAGAGACGATGAGAGTGGAAAATGGCTGCATTTCCCCTTGAACAGTGGGATGTTGGTGACGTATCATGAAGGTTAAAAGAACTTAGTGTGAGCTGGTGGTCATGGTAGGGCACACCTTTAATTTCAACACTTGGAAGGCAATGGGAGGCAGATCTCTGTGAGTTCACA